AGCCATCCGGAGGGTAGGTTGATCGAACCTACTTGGACAACGTCGCTGTAAGATGACTATCATGATCCCTTTGGACAATAAATTTCTGGCTATTGAGGATAAAACATTGACGTCGTTTGTGAGGGGAAGAAATTGAAAAGATTAAGGTTGGGGGAGAATAGGAGTTTCAGAGTGTGAATTTCATTATGGGAAGATGAAGTGGACTGACTGCTGGGTGCATTGCAAGAGTTCTGTTGGACCAAATGAGAAAATTCTTGAGACCGGAATAAGAAGGGAGGAAATACAATCTATCAAAGGCCTTGGGTAGGAATAGGAAGGAGAAGATTTCTCATCTTACAAAGGAGAAGAGAGAAATAGTGAGGCTTATCTTTTTATAGGAAGGAACAGAGGCAGGTGAATGGTGGAGGATGATGGTTACAGTGCATGAAGTGGCAGTGAGGAAATGTGAGATACTGGAGAAGTCTGGAGAGGCCGAATTGGTTATACAGAAGCATTTGAAGAGGAAGGAAGAAGGCAGCGATGCTCTACCTTTTTTATGTTGTCCCGTTTGTCGCAAAACTGATGGTGAGCCTGGAAGCAAACAAAAAGAAACGCTTTGCTGAAATTATGAAGGGAGCTCAGAACAGATGAGTCTGGTAGGGAAGACAAGACTCGCTAACAAGGCGCGTTAGGTGGAATTGAAATTTCAAAATGTTGACAATGAAAATGCGGAAGGAGAGCATCGTTTTGGTGAAGCCCAAAATGCAGAAAAATATAGTTGTTTTGGAACAAATTCAAATTATGTCAGGCCTTGTCAAGGAGAGCCCAACTCCAATGAGGATTTCGAAGGTGGAAAGGTTTTCTTAGGCTGAGAATGACAAATTGGTTGAGTGGGCCAAAAAAGGAAATTGGGCCAAAAAGTAGGGTCACAACTGAAATGGGTTTAGAGCCCTTAATTCATAAAAAATGCAAATACCCACGACTAGTGGAGGAAGAAACCAAGTTTCCGAGCTTACAACTGTGAAGAAGAAGGCGATTATGGATTCGTGAGTAGGGAGAACAATGGAGGTAGGAGAGAGACCAGTGGCGATTGGGAGTTGATAGTCCTGGGTAGTGAGAAGGGGAGAGAAGTGGTTGAAGATGTGGAGGGCTGCAACCTCACTGAGATCGCAGAGGAGCAGTCAATCCGACTCTCAGTGGTGGTTCTGGTGGTGGTTCTGGTGATGGAAGAAGGTGTAGAAGGTAATCTAGGGGGGGAGGGGATAGGGTGAAGCAGAGAGGGGAGACTTAGATGGAAGAGGATACAGGTGAGGGAAGTGGGGACCCCATTGAAGAAGAAAACTCTTGATAGGTTCTCCAAAATATCCAACAGATAAGTAGCATGTTGGGAGTATCTTTTGATGGCTTAGAGGAACCGGTTATAAAGTTATTCAGGGACAAATAATAGAAGGATGGAGAAGGTGAAAGAAGAGTGAAAGAAAAAACAAAGAGGAAAAACTAGAATGGTTGTATGGATCCAGGGAATTAAGAAGATTGTAATCCAGTGTCAGCTACGAAAAACTCAAGTAAACAGGAAAAGGAGCAAGGGGATCTCAAAAAAAGGCTTAAATTATATGTGACCATCTCATTTACTGGAATCTAAGGGGAATAAACGACTATAAGAAAAGATAAGTAATTAGGGCTTGAATGAATAGATGGAAACCCGATGTCATTCGCTTGCAGGAATCTAAAATAGAATCCATCTCTAACTGGATTATTTGGAGCTTATGGAAGAATAAAGAGATTTGGCTGGAGAGATTTACCCGCTAGAGGAGCGTTTGGAGAGATTAGTGTTATGAAAAGAGGGGTCCTTTAGTTGGGAGGAGCTTTTTATGGGAGAATGTTATATATCTTGCCTGTTTAAAGACTATAGAAGTGAGGAAAAATGAGTGTCCATTGGTGTTTTCAGTAAAATGAGTGTCCATTGTTGTGGAAGGATTTGAAAAATTGTAAATAGAAATGACACTTTCCGTAGGTTGTAGGGGGATTTTAATATGGTGTTGAACATATATGAAAGGTCTAGCCAACATTTCTCAAGAGTTTGTATTGATGAATTTAAAGAGACTTGGGATAGACTTCAATTTTAATAAATTTATCTCCCACGGGAATGGACTTGAATTAATCAGTGATTCAATCTAGCATGCTCACAAATTGATAGGTTCTTGGTGTTGATTTCTTACCAACTTCAAGTAACGAGTATTTGCTAAAAGTTTTTGTGACGATCGTTATCTGGTTAGTTTCCTATCTATCTTGTATTTGATGAAATTAAGTGGGCCCCTTATCCTTTCGTTTTCGAGGATAAATGGTTAAAATTAATGGTTTTTACAATAAGATTAATGAATGGTGGAGAGGATCAATGTTGAATGGTAAAACCAGCTTTAGAATTGCTCAAAAGATGAAGGTGGTGAAAACCATAATCAAGGAGTGGCATAAAGAGGAGGAGCGGGGGAAGGTATGTACACACAAGTCTTGTTTCAAGGGATTGAGGCAGTTGATGGATGGAGGGTGAGGATGTTTCGTTTATGGAAGATTTGGATTGCAGGAGGCCCAACTATGCACAAATCATCTAATGTGAGAGCCAGATGTATAAAGGAGGGGGAAGGAAACACTAAATCTTTCATTGTATAACAAATCATTATACGAGACCCAACTATGTGGAGCAAATGGAGACTGATGGCAGGATGGTAAAAAGGGTAACGAGAGTTTGAAGCAAGGGGCTTGAGATTTTTCCTACAGATTATACCACGAGGAGTTTAGTTGAAGAGCAAAATTGTACAGTATAAATTCTAGATTTCTGGGTGAGATGATTCCTCTATCCTTGGAAAGGGAATTTATAGAA